ACACAGCTGCAGACACCATGCCCTGCGCGGCGGGCAGTCGCTGCACGGCTGTCCCCGATCACACGCCAGGCCCGCCGGCGTTCACAAATCACCAATGTAGAGGAGTCTGCGGGCAGTACCCCCATGGCACCTGTGGTGTGGTGGACCCTCAGGGGTAGCGTTGGTTTCTTGGGTTTGTGTTATTTGTACGGCGAATGATGTTTTGATATTGTGAAACTCTTTTTTTTTCGTTGACTTGTGTTTTTGTCGGGGGTTTAAATCGATGGGATGAGAGGTATGAGGGTGTTATGTTGAGGGTACGGTGGGAGGAAGGGGTGCATTGTGTAAACGGGTGCGTCGTTCTTGAGTGCTGGTGCATTCGTTGCCTCGTGTTGTCCTTCTAGAAGAGGTGCGACTATGAAACACAGCTATAAAACAACTCAACCAAAAACCTTTTACGTGTCCACGTGCAAAATGTGCATCGCATCACACAACGATGATTTATTTTCCGAACGCAGATCCACCAAAAGCGTACCACGTACAGCAGTTCTTGGGTCCACGTGCTTGCCAACCAAGAGAATGAGCGGTGTTTGGAGGTAGCCCGACGTGGTAACGCTAGCTGCGCAAGTGACATGCATGATACGCTCTCTTCATGACCTATTTTGGCATTCGAGTGTAGTCAGTGCGCGAGAGTCCCTGTTTCACGACCTTTAGTTTTGTCTACGATATAAGAGAATATTCTCTTATAGTGAGATACTGTTTAAGAGAATTCTCTCTTACACCGTAGCCAACACGATATAACAGAAAGCCGGATTTAAGAGAGTGAAATTGGCTTGTACCGACCCTCTCTTCAACCGTAGCCGCTACTGTAACACAGAAGAGCAGCGCGACCGGCGTACATCCACCCAAGGATAAAGGTTTTCAGCAGTAGACTATTCTAGTAGTTATCTAGGGAACCAAGACTTGCCAAATTCCGTCCACTGTTGTAGGCTTCAAACTTGTCGGCGCAACACGCAGCCCCTCCCCTAAAAAAATGTGAGACTCGTATCTACGCGGCGCAACCACCCCGCTGTGCACCCGCCAAAGCGACCAACCACAAGAACGCGCCCACTTCAGCATCAATCGCCACCAACTTATATTGCAGAAGGGTTGAACTTGATTGGCGGCGGGAATCAAGAGGTAGACACAGAAGAAGTTGAAAACTTGCATTGACATTCAGGCATCATGCTTATTTCCTGCCACGCCGCCGGCAACACCGAGCATTGGAAATGTTAGCTGCTGATCTTGCGGTTGTACAGCGCTTGGAATTGTGCTGTGTACTACTACACGTGGAGTACTTTTGAATGGCGCCAGCTAGATTTGAACTGAAATGCTGTTGGGGTGCCCCCCTCTCCTGCTGCGGTGTTGCACCGCACACACGTGTGCCTGTTGACTCGGGGCCCTCACCCAGCAGTACAACTCTCCGGAATCCCGGAGCAAAAAAACTATGAGACGATGGAGTAGCGACAGTATCACGGCAGCTACACTAACAGGGAACTTGATCACTGATAACCTTGTGCTATCTGACGTTGCACGCGGACAGGCACGGCCGGCAATATATATATAGTCTACACATTATAATTGTTGAAGTATTCTTCTCAAAGGATGAGAATCCTATGTACGCACTGAGCATTGGGTGTGTCGAAAACGCGAGGAAATACTTATTTGTCTCCACACGAATAACGCACACAAAAAAAAACTGCCCTCCCCGGGTTGCCCATGTTGGTATGTCCGTACTTGGGAGGAGAAGACACGCTTTATCTCTCTCTGATTAGGCACCCGCGGGAGCGAGGAAAGGAAGGGAAGAAGTGGCCCTCCCGAATCCCGAATTCGGGGAAGGGGGCCCACACATAGTAGCCTTTTTCAGGCATACGCATGCTCCTGTCTCCGTACCCCCCCGCACTGCTAGCAGATCTACCACGCTCGTATCCAGACACACGAACACCCTCCCCGGTTCGTCGAGCTATTGACAAACCATCAGTGGGGCATGGATACTCCAGATCTACTTAAGTTACTCATACAACAACAAGGGAAAAACTCGGCCATCCGGATCAAAAACCCTCGCCTTCAAACTCAAATCATAAAAGAAACCGTCGCTATCACGAAGGATTCCAACGGCCGCACCATCAGGGCAGGACCAAGGCAGGACAGATTGGACAGGCCACGCTGATTACACACCCGAAGCAATTGGTCAAAAACCCGAAGCTCCCGCCGCGGGTGACGCCCCTGCCCAACGCTTCCTGCGTGACATACCATGGTCCGAGACGCGCCCAGTGCTAGAACAAAACAAAACAAACGCCACGAAAACGAGACCAGAACCCTACAT